AGTTGAGTTTGAAAATGCATTTAGTTGCAATGCGGAAGAATTTTCAGTTTAAAGTAAAGAAGTCGACGTCGGAGCTATATATACTGCGGTGCGTTCATGCTGATTGCACGTGGAGACTTCGAGCTACCAAGCTAAAGGAATGCACTTTGTTCAAGATAAAAAAATATTGTGCTGCCCATATGTGCTATGGTGGAGCTTTAAAACATGATCATAGGCAAGCCAAAAGTTGGGTGGTAGGACATCTTGTGCAAGAGAAGTTCACAGACGTCTCCCGCACGTATAGACCAAAGGACATTATACAAGACATGAGGAAGGAGTATGGTGTCAATTTAAGTTATGATAGAGCATGGCGTTCTAGTGAAGAAGCACTCCGGCTTATTAGAGGTGATCTAGCATCGTCATATGGTCTACTTGCAGCTTATGGTGAAGCTTTGAAAATCATGAACCCAGGTACTATTTTCGAATTAGAACTAGAAGGTGGCAAGTATTTCAAATATGTATTTATGACACTGGGTCAATCGATTCGAGGTTTTCTGGGTTGTATTAGACCAGTGTTGGTTGTTGACAGGGCCCACCTAAAGGGGAAGTTCAGAGGGGTATTGTTATCAGCTTCTGGTGTCGATGCGAATAACCAGATTTACCCGGTAGCATTTGTGATTGTCGACGGTGAGAGGTAGCATCATGGGTGTGGTTTATGACTCAAATAAAACGTGCGCTCGCTGGAGTTGATAATTTGGTTTTCGTTTCTGATAGACATCAAACCATTTGCAAGACAATCGACAAGGTATTTCCTGCTGCATTTCATTGCTTTTATATACAGCATATCAAGGTTAACTTGATAGCAAAATTTAAAAACGATGCGAAGGCAGTCGAGGAACTATTTTTAAAGGCTGCAAAGGCGTATCGCGAGTCATATTTCAACTCGATCTGGGCCCAACTTCGTGCATACCCCGGTGTACGGGAATATCTAGACGATATTGGGAAGGAGCGTTGGGCTCGTTGTTTCCAAACTCAATTGAGGTACACACAGATGACTACAAATATCGCAGAGTCTGTAAATGCCCTCTTCAGGCACGCCCGTAAGTTGCCGGTTACCGCCTTACTTGACCACATTAGAGGTAAGTTACAGAATTGGTTCTATGATCGACGGACGCTTGCAGCTTCCCGATCAACCACATTGCCCGACTACGCAGAAAACATGTATGCCGAATATTCAGATAGTGCGTGAAGACACGTTGTAGACAACATTGACCAGTTCCATCTCCAGGTACGGGATGGCAACCTTGACGGGATTGTTGATTTGAACGCTATGACGTGTAGTTGTCGGGAGTTTGATTACTTTAAGATTCTGTGCTCTAATGTTATTGTGGCGGTGACGATGCGAAATATAAATCCATACAGTTTGTGCGACGAGACATATACGATGAACTCCTGGATATTGGCTTATGCAGAACCCATATTTCCAGTCGGACACGTCTCGACATGGAACAGTTCGCCAGAGTTTGTCAACATACCGGTGGAACCACGAAGACTGTTCCAAGAGTTGGGAGGAGGAAGACAACTAGGATTCCTTCCACGTGCGAGGTACGACAAACACGTAAGTGTGGTCGATGTGGTGCGTGGGGACACAATCGCAAAACATGTAGCGAACCCCTTACCACATTGTGAATGTATGCTTCTGTTGTTCATTTACTTTTAAACATGTATGAAGTGGATTTTAAAGAAATTGGCAAGGTAACTTGTATCTCAAGAAACCAACCATGCATGCATGCATTTGCAACTCTATGTGTTMTACTACTACTATTATTATTATGGGGATTGGATTGTATTATTATTGTGTGTTTCATGTATCATGCTTCGAGAATGAAATACGAATTAGAAAAGACAATATCGAAATTTCATAAATATTCAAAAAATGGGACGGCGCGCCCACATCTGTACAGCGTACTGACGCCTAAAAAATACAATATTATCCTGGGTCAAAGTGTCCAGCTTTGACCCGGTAACATCGTACTCGAAGAAGCGTACACAGAAAATTCTGCAATCTGTGGCGTTACTCTGTTGGGGTGT